CCTAGGTATATACCCAAACTTTGCTCAAGTACACAAAAGGGATACTTGCTCAATTGTTTAATTATTTTCTCTCTGAAGGCCACAGACTGGCTGCATCTTCCCGTATGTGTTCATGATGGCCATAATCTATTTGCCTTTATCTTCATATACATATATATTACTGATGGCCATAATCTGTTTTTCTTTAACTTTCTCCATTTCTTTATAGGTGGCCACAATCTGTTTGGTTTTATCTTCGTCTCATTTTTTACATATTTTATTTGTTTGCTCTATTATCCTCTTCATCAGCACAGATATAAGGTCATCTTCTTGAATTTTAATTATGCTGGGGTGTCCAGGGATGCTTGCCCCTGGATGACTGGGTTCTGGAGATGTCATATTGCTCTGTCTTTTGTTGGTTGAGGTATTTTGCAGTTCTCTACCCACTGGACTATGTTAGGTGTTGGCTGTTAGTTTCTGGTGCCTCCTGGAATTCTGGGGTGGGGACAATCCCCTTGGCAGAAAGATGATTTTTCCTGAAGGAGGTCTCCTCTGATTTTTGGGAATGGTCACTAAATGGCCAGTGTTTCTCAGAAATTGCCACTGCTCACCTCAGGCGTATAGACCTGAGTGGTACCTGTGGTCTTTGTTAGGCAGGGGGGCTCTCCTCTCACCATAGAAGTCCTGGAAACAGCTGCCCTGCTGCTGGGTTTCTTGCTCTGAATTTAGTGAGCTGCTGCTGTTGTTATACTGTTTTCCAGGCACAGCCCTCTTGAAGAACCGGCTGATTCCCTAGCTGTGGGGTTTTCTTCCAACAGGGAAACTCAGTCTTTGGTGCCCTGGGTTCTACAGTTGTGTCTGAGAAGGTGAGTCAGGCATGCACCAGGTCTCTGGGCTGGCAGTTGAGTGTACTGCTCTGGGCCGGCGGCTGAAGGCCCCTTTCTGGGCCAGAGGCTGTGCATTCCCCTCTGGGCCGGCAGCTGAGGGCTTCACTCTGGGTCAGAGGTTGGATGCCTTGCTCTGGGCTGGAGGTTGTGTGCCCAGGGCTGGGATGGTGGCTGTACATCTGCCTGTCCCCAGGATCTTTTCCAAGGATTGACTGGGTGACCTGAGGTTGGTCCAGATTGATTTCCACACTGCAGGCTTTCCTCTAACCTGGGAATCACAATCGCTGGTGTTTTAGGTCACAGAGTTCAGGCTCCTGGTCGCTGTGCCGCTATTGCTGTCATGCTCCTCAGACACAATGTCCTCCCAGCACTGCCATCTGGGATCTCCTCCCCTTTAAGCTCTTAATGATGACACTCTAAAGATTGTTTAATAGGTTTTTTTTTTTTTAAAAAAAAAAAAAGTATTGAGCATGAAGAAATACACAAACATGGCTCACAGAAATTCTCTGCAGAATAGAGGGAAATGTGAAAGCCCTAAATCCTCAGTGTGTATTTTGACCAAAATTAGCTTTACATAGCTGTGTAGGTTTACTCTGGGGTCTTCTATTATGTTTCATTGGTCCACATGTCTGTTTTTGTGCCAGTAGAGTGCTGTCTTTGTCACTTTGGCTCTATAGTAGAGTTTGAAGTTGGATAATGTGATACTTCTGACTGTGTTAGATTTGCTTAGAAGTCTTGTTCTAAGTCTGTTCTTTTGTACTTCAATATGAACTTTAGCAGTTTTTCTACTTCTGTGAAGAATGCCATTGGAACTTTAGTAGAAACTGCTTTAAATCTGTAGATTGCTGTTTTCCCTTCTTTTTTATCCTTCCTTCATACAGTATATGCTGATCACAGTTTCCCTTCCCTCTTCTACTCCCAGTCCCTCTCTCCACCATTCCTCTTCCCCAGATCCATTCCTCCAAATTACCCCTTGAGAAAAGAGCATTCCTCCCAGGGATATCAACCAAACATGGTGTAACAAATTACAATATGACTAGACACACACTCTCATATCAAGACTGGACAAGACAACCCAATAGGAGGAAAAAGATCCCAAGAACAGGCAGAAGAGTCAAAGACAGCCTGCATTCCTACTGTTTAAAATCCTACAAGAACACCAAGTTAACATACAAGTAGACGTCCTAGCTCCATGATTGTGGGTTAAGTCTCTGTGAGCCCTTTCGAACTCTGGTTAGTTGATTCTCTGGTCTGTATTTTTGTGGTTTCCTTCACCCCTCTGGTTGCTATAATCCTTCCTCTTCTGCAGGATTCCCCAGAGCTTCACCTAATGTTTGGCTATAGTTTTCTGCATCCAATAGTTGCTGGATGTAGCCTTTGTGATAATCATTATACTAGGCCCCAGTTTATGAGTATAGTTGGATATAATTAGGAATCATTTAATTTACTTTTTATCCAGTTTGTGTTTAGTTCTATCCTGAATCTCTGGGCTATGATGCCTCTGGTTCTTGGCCACTCTGGCAGTGTCAGGTATTGGCTCCATCTCCTGGTGTAGGTCCCAGTCCCAATGCTGAGAGCCTTGCCTGGATATAGAACATGGTTAGTTCAGGCTTCCTAGGTCCTCCTACTAGGAAATTTTGCTAGGGCACCCCCCCATAAATTCCATTGTACTAGTTTTCTACCTTATCCCTGAAATGTGCTCCAGTTTCACTAATCTCACCAGGTACTCTCTCCTTCCATATCCCACCTCCTGTTCCCATTCCCACCCCTTCCCTGTCCACCCCTGAAATCCATTCATTCCCCTTCCTAAGGAAATTCATGCTTCCCACCTTGAGTCCTCCTTGTTATTTAGCTTCTCTGGATCTCCGGATTATAGTATGATTATCCTTTATTTTTCATCTAATATAAGTGAGTACATTGTTTTCTGGGTCTGGGTTACCTTACTCAGGATAATTTTTTTTCTAGTTCCATCCATTTGTCTGCAAATTTCATGATGTCATTTTTAACAGCTGCATAATATTCCATTGTGTAAATGTAGCACATTTTCTTTACTCCCCCCTTTTTTGGTGGAGAGACATCTATATTGTTTCAAGTTTCTGGCTGTTATAAATAAAAGTGCTATGAAGATAGTTGAGCAAGTGTCCTTTTGATAGGGTGGCGCATCCTTTGGGTGTATGCCCAGAATGTTATTGGTGGGTCTTGAGGTAGATTGATTTCCAGCTTTCTGATAATAAACCATCATATTGAGTTCCAAAGTGGCTGTATAAGTTTTCAATCCTAATAGCGGTGGACAAGTGTTCCCTTTAATCCACATCCTTGATATCATGAGAAATCACATGTGTTAGCCATTTTGAAGGGTGTAAGATGGAATCTTGGACATTTGAAATTCCTCTGTTGAGAATTCTCTTTTGATCTGTAACCCATTGTTTAGTTGGATTTTTTGGATTGTTAACTAGTTTCTTGAGTTCTTTGTATGTTTTGGATATGAGCTCTTTCTGTCAGATGTGGAGTTGGTGAAGATCTTTTTCCATTCTGTAGGCTGCCATTTGAAGTTTTGATGGTGTCCTTTGCCTTACAGAAGTTTTTCAGTTTTACGAGGTCCCATTTATTAATTGTTGATCTAGTGCCTGCACCTCTGGTGTTCTGTTTAGAATGTTGTTTTCTGTGCCAATGTGCACTCAAGGCTATTCCTCACTTTCTCTTTTATCAGGCTCATGTATACGGTTTTATGTTGAGATATTTGAGTAGAGAGTTGTACAGGTTCCATGAGTTTTTAGGCTCTCTGTTGTTTCTGTTGTTGTGGAAATCCAGCTTTAATCCATGGTAGTCTTATAGGTTACAGGAAGATATTTCGGTGTTCTTGTATGTGCTGAGACTTGTTATGTGGCCAATATGTGGCCAGTTTTGGAGAAGGTTCCATGAAGTGTTGAGAAGAAAGTATATTCTTTTGGGTTTGAGTGTAACATTCTGTAGTTTGATGTTAGATCCATTTGATCATAACATCTGTTTGCTCCATTATTTCTCTGTGTAGTTTTTGTCTGGATAACCTGTCCATTGTTGAGACTTGGGTATTGAAGTTTCCCACTATTGGAATTTTGGGGTTCACCCTCAAGAAGACAGTGTCAACTAACCTAGGCTCCTAGGGACTTAGAGAGACTGAAGCAACAACCAAAGATCATGCGTAGACTGTACATAGGCCCACAACACATATGTAAGTGATGTTTGGTCCTCATGTGAGTACCCTAGCAACAAGGGGAGCATGGGTCATATCTGACATGGACCCATTTTCTTGCTTTTGGATCACTTTGACCATGCTGGGTTGCCTTGTCTGACCTTAATAGAAGAAAATATACTAAGTCTCGATGTGACTTGATGGGCTGCAGTGGGTTGTTTTTTGGGGATCCAAACCAAGGGTATGGGAGGGTTCTAAGTGCAGGTGGGCACTTAGTGCAGGTGATATTTGTTCTTCTGACTTGATTGCTGGCTTTTGGTGTGTCATACAGAATTAGCTTAAGGCTAAGTTGATGGTAATTTTCTCCAGAGAATAATGAATTTGTTTCCAACAGGCAAAAGCTGTAGCAATGTTACATTATTAGCTTAGAGTGAAATGATTCAAAAGTAGGTTTTGTTCTCTATGATAGCTTCTTTCTTTCTGGTTCACTCTTATGATGTAGACCTTTCAAGTCTCAAACCAAAGCCTGGAATTTTAGAAGGCATCTTTGTCTCTGTGTACCCTCCTGCGCAGTCTGCCTGCTTAGTCTGTTATTTTCTACCTGTCACATAAGCAGCATGCTTCAGCCATTGCTGGAACTGCAAAACTATTCTGGAAGAGAAATTACCCAAATATCAATGTCAGAGGTAGAGATTCCCATTATTTCCTGGGACTTATCTTCTTTATTCCTGATTGTCTTGCTAATAATAAAAGTAATAGTAATTAATAACCTATGTATACCATGCATGCATATTTGCCTATATGGTTGTAGTTTTTTCCTAGCTAGTAAGTTAGATCAAATCTCTTTGCTTCCAGCATCAGAAATGCAACTGGTCCCTTATATTTCCTTTTTCTATAAAGAGTGAACAATGTGTTTTCTACATTTTTTTCACATTTGGTTTTTTTTTTATTTTTTATTTCAGATAGCCTCATTATTCCCCATGTATGTTGTGGGTTACATTGAGCCAAGCAAATTTCTGAAGATCATTTATATCAACATGGTAACATTTTTAATATTTATAAGTCTAATATTAAAATGTCTCAGCTTATAAAGCGTAACTAATTCTGTTTTATGGGGTACTTCCTTTTTGATAGCATTTCAGGCATGTGATATCAATGGCATCATGTCAGGCCCTGTGTTGTATTATCCTTTTCTGGAAAAAAGGCAATACTACTATTTACTGCAGACAAACTGTCCTCTTTAAAATGTGCCTAATTTTGCTTTATGTGTATGAGTGTTTGCATGCATATATATGTGCATTACATGTGTGCAGTGCCTGCAGAGTAAAGAAGAAGGCATTGGATCCCCTGGAACTGCAGGTACACATGGTTGTGAGCTGCCATGTGGGAGCTGGGAACTGAACCTGGGTCTTCTGCTTGCTGCTGAGCCATCTCTCCAGCCCTTTAGTCTTTATTTTTACATTTTAATATTGTCATTAATTTTGAATTTTTTTCTCCTTTACACCTGGAATTTTTAAAAACACTTTATAAATGTGAAATTCTGCAACTGAAATTTTATACTGCTGACCTTTTTAAAATCTTAATTCTCAAAAAGATCTTATTTAAAAACATAAAATGCTAACAAAATAAATATTTCATAAAATTATGCATCAAAACATTAGTGAAAATGTATTTATCATTGTCTTATGTCACTCCATTATATAAACTATAGAAACCACCGTAGAACATGAAAAACAATTTAAATTATGCTATAAATAATTTACAAGCTTGAATTTTAACACTTCAATCCTATTCTATTTTTATTTGGCCAAAACCCACTAATACTTATATGAATGAAATTTATTTAATCAATGGTTTATATATGATCAAAGTATATGATCTATTTATGTAAAAATGTAATAAAATGTCTTGTGTACAGCAAATACGCACTAATACAAATGCATGAGATATAATTACTTCCCTGCCTCCAAAGTATAAGTCCATGTATTGACTATTAATCATTTTGTTTCCATCTTCCAGGGTTCTGTTGTCCTATGTTTCATTTTGATGTTTGGAAATCCAATGTACTTAAGTTCTTATTATTCCTCATGTTTGTTAGTGACATGGGTAAGTTGCAGAAAGTTAAGCATAGATTTTTGAGGGAAAGGAGAATGTTCAGAGTTATGTTATTATGAATCAGAAAGGATCTAGAAAGCAAAAAAATATTAAAACTCAAGAGAAACCTCCAAGGATTCATTTAGTGCATTGCACTTGGGAAAGGCCAATTTTGTTTTACTATTGCTAGTCTCTTGTTATATAAAAATGAGAAGGAGCAGAGAATGTTCCCAATTCTGGTTTATGGATATCAGAAGTGTAACTGAAAGTAATAAAATGGATTTATTGAACTATCACTCTAAAAATAAAAAAATAAAATATAATGATTTGGTTTCAAGAGTACCTCAAACATGCTTAGGTCCATCTACAAATTTTACAACACTAGACTCCCGCTGATACTATCTATTTTCTGCCCTAAACTCAGCTAGTCTATCACCTCCGCCCACTCATACCGAAGCAGGAAAGTCCTAACATCCAATTTTGCCTGCAAAGACTTGTGCCTGATAACCATTAAAACAAATAGGATGTGACTGTAGAGATAAACTCACTCAATTTTTGTTGAGAAAAACACAAGCGTAAGCAACAATGGCAAATATAAGGCCTAGACAGTGTGTAAAATTGTACCTGGCTGATTAGGTAATCAGGCGGTGATGAGGAAATGGAGGAAAGGTCGTGTTCAGCACTGTAAGAGCCGACAGTGCAAACTGCAGTTGACTTTCTCGAGGTGGTCTCAGACATTCTCGGTGTTACCCATGCCCCACTCACTCTCCACAAGACCTGCTTGCAGAGAAAGGACCCCATAACTCAGTGAGGTAGAAATGAAATTCAGGAGGCCACATGTAAGCACACCAAGCACTCTTCTCTGTCTTCAAGGAAGTTTATCTCATCCACAGTTTGAAAAGTCAAATCATTAAGGCATTAATCACAGAAGTAGTTGACATGGGAGGGAGTAACTGTATAACGTAACTGTTAATTTTACTTATTTTTGGTCACATGACTTTTAGGCAATAATGCAAAAGAAAAACAAAATCCAAAAATTGGGAAGCAATGAACTTCACTTTTGGGTAAGATTTGATGTTTCTAACATTTTTTTTCAATCCGTCTTTTTATTTATCAGATGTAATGAAGTAAGTTTCATTGAATAAAAACACAAATATAATTGGCATCCATGTTCTCTTTGAGGCATTCCTGTACCTTATGGTGAAAATGGACATAGATGTGTCTACCTAGTATTTGAGAATGTGACACTTCTAATATACAGTAGTCTTAACTTTAGAAAAGTGTCATTTTGATAAATTAGTGGATATCAGTTATTCTGATTTAGAACTATAGAGAGTAGTCAGCAGAACTGTACAGGGACATTTTAAAAAATGCTGCCAAACTGCACATAAAAATGTATTCTTTTAACATTTCCTATAGACAGATGTTGAGCAGGAAAGCCATCAGTAAATAGACAAAGGTGTAGAGAGAAACCACAAAAGTTAAGCCAGGGACATGTTCCGTCGTGAGGATCTGGCGTCGACTCTCTTTCTAGCTTCAACTGGCAGCCATGGAAGCCATCAAGACAAGTGACAAGAAGACAGCTATGTTTGCTGTCTTTCCATAATTGTAACAAAAATACCCAAGAAAGTCGCCCTGAAGGAGAAACGTGTATCTTTGTCGTATGTCAGAGGTGGAGTCTCTTGCCACCTGGCTCTGTTGGTTCTGGGCCTCGTGATGTAGAGCACTACTGCGTTCTGTGGTTACTCAAAGCTGCCTCATGGCCTCCAGAGAGTAAAGAGAGAGGGAGGGAAGGAAGAGGAACCCTTTCATAACAAGGTCCTGCCCTCAAACTCTGTTAGTCTGGGAATTGATAAGTGGATTAATCTTTGTGAGGTCAGAGCTCTTTTGATCCAATCACCTGCCAGAGGCTTTGTTTCTGAATCCTGCTGCGCTGAGCTTTGCTGCACTGAGGACTCTCTGCCTTGAGCACACCTGCTTTGGAGAACATTTAAGATTCAAACTGAAATACATGTAAGAAATGAGCTCTCTGCTCCCTACAAACCTCATGTCTGACAGCCTCCCCTTAAGGGCAAGAGGACTGGTGCTGTGTGTTCTCTTCCAGTGGACATGAGTGAGGGCTAAGACAAAGCCACACAACACACCAGATGACCTAAACTGGGGAAAAAAAAAAAAAAAAAAAAAAAACAGCTCTGCAGAGATTCTGAAAACTAAATTGTAACAGGAATATATAAAATGTCAGGGGTTATGTAAGTTGAAGTGGAGTATTGTTGTAGGTTAAAATGGGGTGTTAAAATAGGTTCCACAATCTCTATTACATGATTCAGAATACACCAGATGCAATAGCAACCACCACTCACAGCGAGTATGAGAAAAATAATGAGTTCAAAAAGGTGATGAGCAAATGTCATCACTGAGATGATTAGGGTGGTGGTATCTTTGGAAGTCTGTCTTTATTTTCACTAATTATTTTAATTGTGCTGATTTTAGGGTACAATGTAATCATTTGAGACATGTATAGTGATGAGTGTAGTTAGCTTCTAACTCCTTAACTTTCACATGTTTATAGTATAAAATATGATATTTTGGTTCCTCTATCCCATTGCCCCAGTCATCAGGGTGCCTTGTGCCTCTACATCATTACTTTGTGTTTAAAGCCTTTGCATACTTGTCTTCCAGTTTTCATAAAATACACATCAGGTTATCATGAACTTGATGCTGTGAAATATTAGAACTTATTCTAATTAGATTGGCACTCTGTGTTTACAGCCAAAGAAAATAGCATCAATAAATAAGGGAAATCATGCCCCTCCCCAAGTCCACTGATGTGGGAGGTTCTCCTCTCCTTCTTTCTGATCTTAGTCCATCAGTTCTCATCAGAAGTGGCTGCATTGTCTTCTTCTGTGGCCTGGTAAGGCTGCTTCCCCCTCAGGGGGAGGTGATCAAAGAGCAGGCCAATCAGATTATGTCAGAGGCAGTCCCTCTTCCCATTACTATGTAACCCACTTGGACATTGAACTGCCATGGGCTCCATCTGTGCAGGGGTTCTAGGTTATTTCTATGAATAGTCCTTGTTTGGAGTATGAGTCTCTTGGAAGCTCCCTGTGTTCAAATTTTCTTGTTTTGTTGCTCTCCTTGTGGAGTTCCTGTCCTCTCCAGCTCTTACTATTTCTCACTTCTTACATAAAATTCCATTCACTCTGCCAGACAGTTGGCCATTAGGCTCAGCATCTGCTTTGATAGTCTGCAGGGCAGAGGCTTTCAGAGGCCCTCTGTGGGGAGGGTGGGATCGGGAGGGGAGGAGGGAGGGGCTTATGGAGTGACACAAAATGAATAAAGTGTAATTAATAAAAAATAAAAAAAGTTAAAAAACAAAACAAAAAAAAAACAAATGAGGGAAATCATGTAACGTGCTCTTCTGCATTTGGCTTAACTCACTCAGAATGATTATTAGCAGCTCTATCCACTTACCTGTGAAATTCTTTTTTTCCCTTTTTTAAAAATTTATTTATTTTTTGTTTTGTTTTTTCTTTTTAAAATTTATTTATATTTTTATAAATTACATTTTATTCAATTTGTATCCCCACTATAGCCCCCTCCCTCAGTTCCTCCCAATCCCACCCTCCCTCTCTCATCTTCTCCCATGCCCCTCTCCAAGTCCACTGATAGAGGAGGTCCTCCTTCCCTTCCATCTCACCCTAGCCTATCAGGACTCATCAGGAGTGGCTGCATTGTCTTCATTGTCATCTTCTGTGGCCTGGCAAGGCTGCTCCTCCCTCAGGGGGAGGTGATCAAGGAGCCAGCCACTGAGATTATGTCACAGACAGTTCCTGTTCCCATTACTAGAGAACCCACTTGGAGACTGAGCTACCATGGGCTACATCTGTGCAGGAGTTCTAGGTTATCTCCATGAGTGGTCTTTGTTTGGAGTATCAGTCTCAGAAAAGATCCATGTGCCCCAGTTTTTTTTCTCTCCTTGTGGAGCTCCTGTCCCCTCCAGGTCTTTCTATTTCCCATTCTTTCATAAGGTTCCCTGAATTATGCCCAAAGTGTGGCTATGAGTCTCAGCATCTGCTTTGAGACTCTGAAGGGTAGTCTTTCAGAATCCCTCTGTGGCAAGCTCCTGTCCTGTTCCCTGTTTTCTCCCTCTTCCGATATTCATCTCGTTTGCCTTTCTGAATGAGCACTGATCATCTTACCCAGTGTCTTCCTTCTTGATTAGCTTCTTTAGGTGTACAGATTTTAGCATGGTTATCTTATATTAAATGTCTACTATCCATTTCTAAGTGAGTATATACCATGTGTGTCTTTCTGCTTCTGGGATACCTCACTCAGGATGATCTTTTCCAGTTACCACCATTTGCCTACAAATTTCATGATTTCCTTGTTTTTAATTGCTGAGTAGAATTCCATTGTGTAAACTTACCACAATTTCTTTATCCATTCCTCAACTGAGGGGCATGTGGGTTGTTTCCAGCTTCTGGCTATTACAAATAAAGTGCTGTGAACATTGTTGAGCAAATGTCCTTGTTGTATACATGAGCATATTTTGGATATATGCCTAGGAGTGGTATAGCTGGATCTTGAGGAAGCACTATTCCTAATTGTCTGAGAAAGCACCAGATTGATTTTCAAATAGTTTTTACAAGTTTACATTCCCACCAGCAATGGAGGGGAGTTTTCCTTTCTCCACATCCTCTCCAGCATGTGTGGTCATTTGAGTGTTTGATCTTAGCCATTCTGATGGGTGTAAGGTGCAATCTCAGGGTTATTTTGATGTGCATTTCCCTGATAGATAAGGATGTTGAACATTTCTTTAAGTGTTTCTCTGCCATTCAATATTCCTCTATGAGAATTCTCTGTTTAGCTCTGTACTTCATTTTTAATTGGATTACTGGATTTGTTGCTGTTTAACTTCTTGAGTTCTTTATATATTCTGGATATTAGACCTCTGTCAGATATAGGGTTGGTGAAGATCCTTTCCCAATCTGTAGGCGGTCGATTTGTTCTGACAACAGTATCCTTTCCTTTACAGAAGCTTTTCAATTTCTTGAGGTCCCATTTATTGATTGTTGATCCTAGAGACTGTGTTGCTGATGTTCTCTTCTGGAATTTGTCTCCTATGCCAATGAGTTCAAGGTTCCTCCCACTTTTCCTTCTAACAAGTTCAATGTGTCTGCTTTTATATTGAAGTCTTTGATCTACTTGGACTTTAGTTAAGTACAGGGTAATAAGTATGGATCTATTTGCATTTTTCTACATGTAGATATCCAGTTAGACCAGCACCATTTGTTGAAGATGCTATCTTTTTTCCATTTTATGGTTTTGGCATCTTTGTCAAGGATCAGGTGTCCATAAGTGTGTGGATTTATTTTTGGGTCTTCTATTTGCTTCCATTGATCTACCAGCTGGTTTTTATGCCAGAACCATGCAGTTTTTACTCCTGCTGCTCTATAGTACAGCCTGAGAACAGGGATGGAGATACCTCCAGAAGATCTTTTATTGTAGAGGATTGTTTTAACGATTCTGGGTTTCTTTTTATTCCATATGAAATTGAGAATTATTCTTTCAAGGTCTGTAAAGAATCGTGTTGTTAATTTGATGGGAATTGGATTGAATATCTGTAGATTTCTTTTGGTAAGATGACCATTTTTACTATTTCAATCCTGCCATGCCATGAGCATGGGAGATCTTTCCATCTTCTGATATCTTCTTCTATTTTTTTCTTCAGAGACTGGAATTTTTTTTTATAGAAGTCTTTGCCTTGCTTGGTTAGGTTCACATCAAGGTACTTTTATGTTCTTTTTGACTATTGTGAGGAGTGTTGTTTCTCCAATTTCTTTCTCAGCCCATTTATCTTTTGTATAAGAGGGCTACTGATTATTTTGAGTTAATTTTTTATCCAGACATTTTGCTGAAAGTGTTTATCAGCTGTAGGTAGAATTTTTGGGGTCACTCATGCATACTATTATATCATTTGCAAATACTGATATTTTGACTTCCTCCTTTCCAATTTGTATCCCCTTTATCTCCTTTAATTGTCTTATTCCTCTAGCAAGGATTT